AGGTGACTCCATGTACCTGCTCACTACTCCAATTGAGTAGCTCGAATCCGGTCTTGAGTGAATAAGATAACGGAGGCTACCAATCAGGCATCGGTAATCAGTGGCATTGATTGGAACTCCATCTTCATCTTTTGTTAGAGAAAGCCTTGGTTCCATTAGGTATTTTGATGGGTTACAATCTCCCATGCCTGCTATTTGTAATATCTTCTTAGCATACCCAGTTTGGTTGATTGTGATACCTCCTTGCCCTTGTTGGACTTCTATCCCTAGGTAATAGGATAGACTTCCCATATCACTCATGTCGAAATTCTTTAGCATCCGCCTTTTGAATTCAGCCACCAGCTCTTCACTTGTACCTATCACGATTAGGTCGTCCACATAAACACCCACAATCAAGGTGTTATTTGCTTTCTGGATATTGTATACGGCATATTCCTGTGGGCACCTTTGGAATCCCATGTTTTTCAAAGTCTTGTCAAGTCGATCATTCCAAGCTCTTGGCGCTTGTCACAAGCCATAGAGCGCCTTGTTGAGCTTGTAGACCATGTTTTCTTTTCCAGCAATGACAAAACCTGTTGGTTGAGTAACATACACCTCTTCCTGTAGAATTCCGTTCAAAAACGCAGATTTCACATCCAAGTGATGAACTTTCCACCCTTCACTTGCTGCTAATGCCAGTACCAAGCGAACTATGTCCATACGAGCCACCGGTGCAAAAGCCTCATCAAAATCTACACCTTTTTGCTGTACATATCCCTTCGCAACTATTCTGGCTTTGTGTTTTGTTACTTTCCCTTTTGTGTTCTTTTTCAACTTGAATACCCACTTCAGTCCTATCGCCTTTTGCCCTTTAGGGAGATGAGTCAATTTCCATGTATTGTTGTTTTCAACTGATTCCAGTTCTTGTTTCATCGCATTTCTCCATTCTTTGTCACCTGAAGCTTCTTCATATGTGGTGGGTTCTTCGCCTGCGTACATTATCATCTTTGAATCTTCTTCAATCTCCTGGGTTTCATTATAAATGTCTGTTAAAGCCCTAAATCCTCGAACAGGGGTATCGTCGTACGTGGACCTGTCTACGTCTTCTTCTGATGTTGGACTCGAGGAGTCTCCTGGTCTGATTAGGACTTCGCTCACAGGAGGTGAATGATCTGTTGGTGTTGTGGATGGCTGATACCCATGTAGTGGCGAACTAGGGCTTCCAATTTCTCCTAATGTTGGATCGAGTTCCTCCATGGTATCTTGGGCTATTCCTTCACTAGGGAACCTGACCCAAGAATTACTCAATATTGGGCCTTCACAGTGAACCTTAGCCAAATCCCATTTCCTTTTCTCTTCAAATACGACATCTCTTGATACATAAATTCTATTTCGTTTAGGGCAATACAACCGGAACGCCTTACTTCCTGCTTCGTTTCCCAAATACACCATTTGTTCACTTCTATTTCCCAACTTTGTGAGTTTATTCGTTGGTGTCTTTGCGTGAGCTACACAGCCGAACACTCTAAAGTGCTCCAACATTGGATTCATCCCCTGTAGAGCTTCATATGGAGTCATGTCTTTTACTGGGACGCCCTATAGTGTTTCTGGGACGCCCATGGCTTTCAGCAAGGACCTGGTGGTTTCAAGGATTGTTCGGTTCCGGCATTCTACCACCCCGTTCTGTTGAGGGGAGTAGGGTGCAGTCAATTGCCTCTTGATTTCTTCCTGATTGCAGAACTCAGTGAATTCATTTGACGTGAATTCACCTCCTTGATCTGTGCGCAACAATTTTAATTTGTATTTCCCTTCACTTTCTACTCGATTCTTGAACTTCTTGAAGGCAGTGAAAGCTTCACTTTTTTCTTTGATCATCGACACCCACATGTACCTGCTGTAGTCATCTACAATGAGAAGGAAATACCGGTTGCCAGCTAATGTTTGGGGCGTTATAGGACCGCACAAATCTGCATGAATCAGTTCAAGTGGAGAGCTTGCACACCACTGTGCTACTTTTGGAAACAGATATCGGGTCTGTTTGGCAACTAAACATCCCTCACAAATTTGTGTGGGATGCTGAATTCTTGGCACTCCCCGCACCATGTCCTTTACCACCATAGACTCGATCACACGAAAGTTCACGTGACCTAATCTTGCGTGCCACAACCATGTTGTATCATCTAGGCTTGCACTAAGGCACACAGGTTGTGTTGTATGCAGGACAATCTTGTACAACCTGTTCTTTGAACGTTGTACCTTCATTATCAACCTATTGCTAGCATCATGAACCCTCAAGAATTCATGAAGCATCTCGATCTTGTATCCTACTTCTGTCATTTGTCCTAGGTTGAGTATATTACTTTTTAAGGCGGGGATGTAATATACCTCATAGATGGCTTGTTGCTCTCCATTCTTGCATTCCAAAAGAATTATACCTCTTCCTTTGATCTGAACTTTAGAACCATCTCCAAAACGCACCTGCCCTGTTACTCTGTCATCAAGTTCTACAAAGTATTCTCGCACCCCAGTCATGTGGTTACTGGCCCCATTATCCAAGTACCATGTATCCTTCTCATTCCCTTTTGTTGCTGGGAACACTTTGTCTTCATTAAGCAATACCCAATCATATGTATCTTCACCCTATACAGTTAACAGAAGAGCATGTTCTTCTTCTTGCACCTGTGTTAAATTGACATCAGCTTCCTTCCTTTTGGGATTTGGGCACTCCAATGCAAAGTGTCCAAACATGTCACAATTGAAGCACTTTATGTGACTTTTGTCTCTTCCCTTTCCTCAACCATTGCTTGTATCTCGGAATGATTGGTGATTGCCTCGACCACCTCTACCCCTTGAACCTCTTCCTCGATAACCTCCTCGACCTCTCCTTTCATTAGAAGATCCACAACCTCTTCCTGTTGTACCCGGAGAGCCCTTTTGTGATTTTTGACCCATTTGCCCTTCCGATCGAGTCAACAACAAGCCTGCTTCAGCATTCGAGCTTTCACCCCAAACTCGTAGTCGATCTTCATAGGCTTTGAGTCTGCCAACAGCTTCTTCAAATGGCATTGTATCCAAGTCTGAATACTGTTCTATCGAGGCCACAAGTTGTAGAAATTTTTTTGGGACAGAATTAAGCAATTTCCTCACCAAAGTACTATCTTCCATTGTTGCACCAAGGCTGATGTATTTCGAATTTATCCCACTGAGCTTCCCTGCGAATTCATCTATGGAATCTCCTTCTTTCATCTTCAGTGCATCAAACTCGCCTTTTAAGTGTGTGGAATCTCCCACACTTCCTTTGCAGTTTTCTTCTTTGCTACCTGCATGAGAATGTCCTCCGGTATTGCTTGGAAGATGTAAGCTTGTGCCATCTTGTTCTTCTTCTCATCAATAGTCACTCCGACAGTTGGTTCTATGGATTCCCAAACACCTTGAGCATCCATGACAGCCTCCATCTTGATTGCCCACGTGGTATAGTTTGTTGAAGTCAACAATGGACATTGGAACGATACCCCACCGTTATCTTTTGGTACATGCTGACTGAACCTGTCATGTTATCATGTCTTATGTATTTGGGCATAAACAAGTAAGCTCTGATACCAAGTTTTGAATCAGGCCCCTATAAAGATCAAAAGTGGTATACCCAAATAAAGTAAAACACAGACTTGCACAAAAGATTCCCAGTTTTCTCCCTTCTTATTTCTGATGAATAAAACAAAGACTTACGGGCTTTAAATAGCAAAACAAACAACGTAACTGCAAAGCTAAAACTGAATAAACGTGTGCTCCTAACTAGGTGGCAACTAAGCCACTTATTCCTATTGACAAGGTCAATTGAAGACCAAGTCAGAATTACTTTTTCTTCCACAATATATAGGGTTTATCGTTTGTTTTACATTTACCTTGATACGTGGGTTAGTAATACATGATTCACTGATTCAATCGATTTTGGTGATTGTAGGCCTGTTTAATTAAAACCTTATGGCACATCTAGGTGGCATTGCTGAGGAAGATGCTCTTGATGATGATGTTTTGGACATGCAATATGGATGATGACGTCGACTAACATCGAAGGAATGTTGCTGAGAATGGTGAACGAAAGTTGCTTGACCTTGAGAGCATTGCGTTTCACCAAGGTGGTCTTTTGATGGCAAATAAGAAGTATGTACTTCCTTTAGGCTCTTATAGAAACCCCAAAAAGGGATACGAAGAGGTTCATGTGCCCGGATTGAAGCCCAAACCTCTTGCTCCTAATGAGAAGCTTGTAAAGATCTCAACCATGCCAAGTTGGACACAACCAGCTTTTGAGGGGATGACAGAGTTAAATAGGGTTCAGAGTAAAGTTTATGAAACAGCTCTGTTCAAAGCAGACAACCTTTTAGTTTGTGCTCCCACTGGATCAGGGAAGACCAATGTGGCTATCCTCACAATACTTCAACAGATAGGTTTGCATATGAATCATGAGGACAGTTTCTTTAACTTTAACCAGAGTAAAGACTACAAGATAGTCTACGTGGCACCAATGGAAGCCCTTGTTGCTCAAGTCGTAGGTAACCTGTCTAATCGTTTGAAGCACTATGGTGTCACTGTGATGGAGTTGAATGGAACTGGAGACGAGTCTTTGATTGAGGAAGCACAAATCATTATCACCACTCCAGAGAATTGGGATATTATAACAACTAGAAAATCAGGATACAAAAAACTCGCGAACGTGAAGCTTCTAATTATTGATGAAATTCATCTCCTACATGATGATAACATAGGCCCTGTTCTTGAGAGCATTGTGGCAAGGACTGTTAGACAAATTGAGACCACAAATGAACATATTCGGTTGGTTGGATTATCTGCAACACTTCCGAATAACGATGATGTTGCATTGTTTATGCGAGTTGACTTGAAGAAAGGTCTGTTTCGATTTGACAATAGTTACAGAGCTTGCCCTCTCGCTCAGCAGTATATATGTTGGAATTACAGTAGAAAAGCCATTTCAGTTGATGAATGATATTTGTTATGAAAAAGCGATGGAAGTTGTTGCTGGAAATAAGCATCATCAGGTGCTTATATTTGTGCATTCAAGGGATGAAACAAGAAACACTGCATGTGGAATTAGACACACTTCTCTTGCTAATGACACACTCGGAATCTTTTTAAAAGAAGATAGTGAAAGTCGTGAGATTCTCCATCAACACACTGAGGTAGCGAAGAGCAATGATCTTAAGGATCTGTTGCCATATGGCGTTGCAATTCATCATGCAGAAATGTGTATTCCTGATCTTCAACTTGTTGAGAAACTATTTGCTGATGGACACATTAAAGTACTGGTTTCCACAGCTACTCTTTCATGGAGTGTGAACTTGCCTTATTCCCACACTGTGATTATTAAAGGAACTCAGATTTATAACCCAGAAAAAGAAGCATGCACAGAGCTTGGTTCTCTAGATGTAATGCAGATGTTGAGACGTGCTTATGGTGAAGGGATCATTATAACTGAACATAGTCGGCTGCAGTATTATTTTTCACTCATGAATCAACAGCTTCCTATTGAAAGTCAGTTTGTGTCCAAATTGGCTGATCACTTGAATGCAGAAATAGTTTTTGGAACTGTGAAGAATGCAATAGAAGCAATCGAGTGGCTTGGTTACACTTATTTATACATCCGTATGGTGCTTATTTATACATCCGTATGGTGCGCAATCCTACACTTTATGGTTTATCAGATGATGCTCTCACAAGAGATGTTCTACTGGTGGATAGGAGAGCTAATCTGGTAGGTTTTATAATATATATTCTTCTGACAATATTAGTAAATGTAAGTTAATATATAGTTACTTTTCTTTGCATTGCAGGTTCATTCTGCTGCCACAATACTGGATAAAAACAATCTGGTGAAGTATGATAGGAAAACTGGGGAATTTCAGGTTATAACTGATCATGGAACTAGCTATTTCTAGTCATCCCTCATGTGTGATTCTTATAACATGGGGTCTCATCAGGAGTAGTTTTTCTGTTGATGTGAAACTCAAAGTTGGAGCAGGAGCAGGAGATGATGGCGATAGAAGAGATTGATATAATTTGTATTTCATGATGATTTTATGTAGTATTTGATTACTGAAACTGTTTTGCTTTTGGAATTTGCAGTGTTTGGTTATTTGGTTTGGATGGAAGTCTATTGGTGATTAAGGATATCAAATGATGTATTTTTATTAATTTTTCGTCGTATGTATTCTAGTTGGTTTAAATAGCTTCATAAAACATAGTTTAATTTTGGTGTAAGAATGTTAGGAACCTTAGTTTTTGGAGATGATCAATCATCTCTCATTGACTTATGTGGATATCATGTATTGTTTGGGTTTAAAAAAGACAAGTAGATAACTGACAGATTACAAAAATTGCAGCAATTCAAAAAAGTTGGACTGTACTAGTGTGTTTATTTATTAGAAAAGAAAAAAATACAAGGCAAAAGTTTCTTGTAAAATATCTATGACTTTATGTTTATAATATGAAAGTTCTTTTTCCCTATATTTGAAGGCCTGTTGAACTAAAAGAGTATGGAACATGTACGTGGTGGTGCTAAGGCAGATGCTCCATTTAACAGAAACAAGAGGCAGAGGCGACATCTTTTAGAAGAGGGTAAAAGAGTTTATCAGCCAAAGACAAAAGAAACTCAAGCTGCGTACGAAGCAATGCTTAGTGTGATACAGCAGCAAGTTGTCAGCCTTCGAATATTATTACTGGTGCTGCAGATGAGATCTTGGCTGTGCTCAAGAATGATACATTGAACAAGAAGAAGGATATGGACAAGTTTCTGAATCCTATACCGAATGAGCTGTTTGATCAGTTAGTCTCTATTGGAAGGCTTATAACAGATTATCAGGATACAGCAAATGCCCAAGATGCTCTTGATGATGATCTTGAATTTGAAGAGGATGATGAAGAGACTGATGAGGAGGATATGGATGATGACGACTCACTTCAAAGGAATATTCCAGAGAATGGTGAGAGACAGTTGCTTGACCTTGAGAGCATTGCGTTTCACCAAGGTGGTCTTTTGATGGCAAATAAGATGTGTAGGCTTCCTTTAGGCTCTTATAGAAGCTTTGGTGAGGGATAGGAAGGGGTTCATGTGCCACCATTAAAGCCCAAACCTCTTGCTCCAGATGAAAAGCTTGTAAAGATCTCAACCATGCCAAGTTGGGCACAACCAGCTTTTGAAGGGATGGAAGAGTTAATAGGGTTCAAAGTAAAGTTTATGAGATATCTCTGTTCAAATCAGACAATATTTTAGTTTCTGCTCCCACTGGATCAGGGAAGACCAATGTGGCTATCCTCACAATACTTCAACAGATAGGTTTGCATATGAATGAAGATGGAACGTTAAACCATAGTGACTACAAGATTGTCTATGTGGCACCAATGAAATCCCTTGTTGCTCAAGTTGTTGCTAACCTTACTAATCGTTTGAAGCAGTATGGTGTGAGTGTGATGGAGTTGAGTGGAACTGGAGATGAGTCGTTGATTGAGGAAACACAAATCATTGTCACAACTCCAGAGAATTGGGATATCATAACTAGAAAATCAGGATACACTAAACTTGTGAACGTGAAGCTTGTCATTATTGATGAAGTTCATCTTCTACATGATGATAAGAAAGGACCTGTTTTGGAGAGTATTGTGGCAAGGACTGTTAGACAAAATGAGACCCTTCCCAAGAAGGAACATATCGGGTTGGTTGGATTATCTGTAACCCTTCCCAATTGTCGTGATGTTGCCATTTTTATGCGAGTTCACAATGAGAAAGGTTTTTTCCGTTTTGACAATAGCTACAGAGTTTTCCCTCTCGCTCAGCAGTATGTTGGAATCACAGTAAAAAACCCATTTCAGAGATTTCAGTTGATGAATGATATTTGTTATGAAAAGGTGATGGAAGTTGTTGCTGGAAATAAGCATCATCAGGTGCTTATATTTGTGCATTCATGGAAAGAAACAAGAAACACTGCGTGTGCAATTAGAGAAACTGCTCTTGCTAATGACACTCTCGGAGTCTTTTTAAAAGAAGATAGTGAAAGTCGTGAGATTCTCCATCAACACACTGAGGTAGCGAAGAGCAATGATCTTAAGGATCTGTTGCCATATGGTGTTGCAATTCATCATGCAGAAATGTGTACACCTGATCTTCAACTTGTTGAGAAACTATTTGCTGATGGACACATTAAACTACTTATTTCGACAGCTACTCATGCATGGAGTGTGAACTTGCCTAATGCCCATACTGTGATTATTAAAGGAACCGAGATTTATAACCCTGAAAAAGGAGCATGGACAGAGCTTAGTCCTCTAGATGTTATGCAGATGATGAGACATGCTTATGGTGAAGGGATCATTATAACAAGACATAGGGAGCTCATGTACTATCTTTCACTCATGTATGAACAGCTTCCTATTGAAAGTCAGTTTGTGTCCAAACTGGCTGATCACTTGAATGCAGAAATTTGAACTGTGAAGAATGCAAAAGAAGCCATCAAGTGGCTTGCTTACACTTATTTATATGTTCGAATGATGCGCAACCCTACACGTTATGGTTTATCACATGATGCTCGGACAAGAGATTCTCTACTCGTGGATAGGAGGGTTGACCTTGTTCATTCTGCTGCCACAATACTGGATAAAAACAATCTGGTGAAGTATGATAGGAAAAGTGGGCAGTTTCAAGTTATAACTGATCATGGAACTAGCTATTGCTAGTCATCCTTCATGTGTGACTCTTATAACTTGGGGTCTCATCAGGAGTAGTTTTTCTGTTGATGTGAAACTCAATGTTGGAGCAGGAGCAGGAGATTGATATAATTTGTATTTCATGATGATTTTATGTAGTATTTGATTACTGAAACTGTTTTGCTTTTGGAATTTGCAGAGTTTGGTTCTTTGGTTTGGATGGAAGTCTATTGGTGATTAAGGATATCAAATGATGTATTTTAATTAATTTTCCGTCGGATGTATTCTAGTTGCTTTAAATAGCTTCATAAAACATAGTTTAATTTTGGTGTAAGAATGTTAGGAACCTTAGTTTTGGGATATGATCAATCATCTCTCATTGACTAATTATGTGGATATCATGTATTGTTAGGGTTTTAAAAACACAAGTAGATAACTAACAGATTGCAAAAATTGCAGCAATTCAAAAAAGTTGGACTGTATTAGTGTGTTTATTTATTAGAAAAGATAAAAATACAAGGCAAAAGTTTCTTGTAAAATATCTATGACTTTATGTTTATAATATGAAAGTTCTTTTTCCCTATATTTGAAGATCCTTAAGGTGGGTGTTTATGTAACGATCCAAAAATTTCAACAAATTTTAACTTTTCAAAAACAATTCATTTTAATAATGTTATTACAAAAAGGTTTTCAATATATTTATTATCAGAGTCTTCTCAGAACCATAACATAAATCAAAAACACGAGGAGCGGTACGATCACGCCTTTGCTTTGCCACAGTCTCCTGACGAACCTGAAAACCATTAAACCACAACTGTGAGCCCGAAAGCTTAGTGAGATACCCCTAAAATACCAACCACATATATCATGCTATATCATAACAAATCACAGAACAGCCATGCATATCGGGTCTACTATGTGACTGGTCCACCGTGACGGGCCTTCAGTCCACCTGGTCCACCCTCCGAGTCTAGTCATGTCCCTTGAGTCTACAATGTGGTTGGTCCGCCCGCATCGGGCCTACAACCCACCTGGTCCACTCTCTGAGTCTATAGTATGACTCGTCCGACCGCATCGGGCCTTCAGTCGGCTTGGTCCACTCTCCGAGCCTCGGCACGTCTGGTCCGCCCTCGTGGGGCCTACAGCCTATCCGGACCGCTCGTTGGGCCTTCGTAATAACCGGTCTGCCTTGGGTATGTTGGCCTACAGCACAAAGCAGGTCCCGCCTCAACCCAACCCCAATCAAACAACCATGTGCACATAAGCATACAATCATATAACAATTCACATTCAATCAAACCGATCTAGCAGATCACGTAACACGACATACTCTAAGCAGGATACCGACCTAACCGGTCACTAGCATAACATCACCCTATATACCAGGATACCGACCTTAACCAGGTCTCTAACATATACCATCCTAACTACCAGGATGCAAACATAGCGAAACAACAACATAACAACAATACCCAGATTACAATCCGATAAAGGGCCGGCCTTGGTGCCTTAGACCCTGTTGATATAGTGAGGATAACTCACCTTGCAACTGCTGACTGAAAAGATAAGATCACACTGCTCCAATCTCCGAGACGAACTCCACCCCTGATAAAGCCGAAAGACTAAACCCATTAAATACCACAAAATACCAAAATGCCCTTAGAAGTCAACTGATCAACTCTTGGTCACAGTCAAAGTCACAGTCAACCTCATGGCTGACTCTACTCGCCGAGTCAGCCCGCTGACTCACCGAGTTCCCCCCAACACTGAAAAGTCCCATCTTAACTCACTGAGTCATCCCTTGACTCAACGATTCTTAGCTTAACCAAGAAAGGCTAAGACCTCAAGACCAGACTCGCCGAGTCCAAGGCTATCTTCAACCAACTCGCCGAGTTGTTCTTCCAACTCGTCGAGTTCCTGCCCACCTTCAAGCAACTCCAAGTACACACCCTTGTGACTCGCCGAGTACCACTAACTCTTAACCCATACAGAAGCCTTCCAGGCCATGCAGTCGATCCAAAACGTAGATCTACCCTTCTACAACCCATCCATCACGTAAAGTGGCAAACTTTACGTGAATCCAAAGAGATCTAGGCATTTTACACTCTAGGGATAGGGTTTGGGACAAGATGGCTTCACCAAATACTCAATAACAGGGACTTTAATGCACTCTAGACCTTCTCCATACCAGATCTGAGGTAGCAACCTCAGATCTAACCTTCAAACTCAAAATACCACAAGCTAAAGTTTCCACACATTCCAAGATGATGAATCTAGATGAATAACAGCCCAAGAACGAAGTAATACCTCAAAAGGAAGCCCTAACAGAAGAGAAATCCGATTCTTAGCAAAGC